CAGCTGAAATTCCATCTAATTATTGTTTTTCGTTATCTTGTTAGTTCTTTGTTGTTTCCTTTGTCTGCTTAAGTTGTTGGGATCATCATTTATAGCACTTCATTTTTGCCCTGCTTTGGAAGAGTTTTATATTTTTTACAAGCTTTTTTTTCCGCATAGGAACTGTGAAGTGAATATTTAAATAAACCTAAAATTTAAGATAAAAATCACGTTAACTGCAATTTTTTTCACATTTTTCTTAATTTGTCCATTTCGGTTTCAAAATCAGAGACGTGTAAAAGCAAAATTTCAGGTCGATCTTTTGTGGGCTCCTGGTGGTTCAGCGGTAAGTCAGATGGCTTATAACACTGAAAAGAGAGTTTAAATATCCGTGATGGGCAGAGCAGAGGTAGCTCATTGTGAAGCCTTATACTTTACACCACTACCACCACCAACAACAACGATACAAAACAAAAACACAAAACTATCTTTGTCTCCCGCAAGTCACTGCCCAAGAAAACCTTCGTCAACACCTTGAAGATTTAATTCGTCTTGAAGATATTAATTACTTAGAGTTTTCGCTCAAAGTTACGTAATACAATATCTGCAATAGCAGTTTCTTACTTTGAACTGATAGACCATAAAAGTCATGCCAAATTTTGGGTTATGGTTGTCTGACCTAATAGTGGGATTTGAGCCAATTTTTATAGCACATCTACTGCCCCAAAGTGCGAAGCGAGTTTCTGTGATAACGGGCTTTGAACCATGAACCCTGAATTCAATGTTTGAGCACGCAAACTATACGGCCACGCCCAGCCCGGACATAGTGAATAAAGAAAAAAAAGTCTAAAATATTTTTATATTTTAACGACAGATGGTGCTATAGTCACTGGCGTAAAATGAATGCGCAAGCGTAGTTGACGGTAGTGAATGGTAGTTGTATTTTTCTTATGATGAGGTTGTTGGTTATGAAAATCGCAGATGTTAAAAAAAGTATAAAATTCTTATTAATTTCATTTTGCTTATGATTTTTTTGCACTCTATACAGATAAAACACAAGGAAAGGCACAGTTTGTTAATCTTATTTTTAAGGTAAGTGTTTTTTTTTCGTATATGCGAATATTTATTGTGCTACATAACGAACATTGGACGCCTAAGTCTTACTTGGAAAATCACACCCTTTGCATTAGAAATATGTAGATAGGGTTTTTTGTTCTTTGATGATTTGCGTAACGTATGTGCTTTAGCTTTTATTAACAGAGCCCTAAAAGTTATAACATTTGATTGTTCTACATGTTTTTACATGTCCAAGGCAAATGTTAATAGCTTACTCACTGTAATTTGTAAAGTATAAAGCTTGGCCAGTCAGATCATTATTTTATTTTTACATTCGTTACCCTAGTTTTTTAATCAGACAAAATAAGCTTGTTCAATTTAGTAGTTTCGAGTTTTACAGTTGGGTTTTGTTGGCATGATTGTATGCTTGCATGTAATTTCTGTGTTGTAACTTGTAGTATGTTGCCTTAATAAGTTAATTATTTATACAAAGTTAAATCACTACTGTTTGTAGATTTTAGTTTGTAAATTTTATTTCATTTATAAGATTATGTTATGAAACAGTCTGATTTATATTGCTGTCAGTAACTTTTATCGTACAACCTATATCATTATTGAAAGGTTGATCACACTTCACAGTAAAGTGCACTGTTAGAAATTATCATTTCAAATTGCAAAACTCTTCACCTGGTTAAAATATGGATGTCATTTGTTATGTTGGGTAATATGTTTTTATTTTATTCAGTAGTGAAACTTAAGCTTTTTCATGAATTAGATAAAGATGGGTAATCTGAAAACATTGTAGATGAGTGATTCAATCAGTAAAAAAACAATGGATTTTTTTTGGAACTAACATACGTGAGTAAAATTGAGAGGTGATCACAAATAAAATACACACATGTAACAGCCTTATTTAATATATAGTATACTAGTAAGGTTTTTTTTTATTTAACCACAAGCTTAGAACCTTTGTGATGATGGGCTCTTGACAGAAATTGAAGTAACAAGGATGATAACAGATAAGGCAGCCATAATGCAGTTTCTATTTAAGTGAAAGGACCATGTAAAGAAGGATAGTTATTCTGAAGACACTTTGCATTTATACTACCCTAGACCTTACAAAGATGGATATAAGTGTGTGTGTGAGTATGTATGAGAGAGATGGGTATGTGTTGTGGAAATTAAGAGGTTAACAGGGTCACCTGGAAATGGCTGGTTAATTTGAATACATTGGGTAACTGAGAGGATCAGAGGGAGGCGATTTGGTTTTATTCAAGCATTATAGCTGACTGATACATAGGTAGTAGCTCTCCAATTAAGATTTTTATTTTAAGCCAACAGACATCTCTTTTTTTTGTGTGTGATTATGGTTATCAGAAAAAGAAAATGCTTGTTCATGAGTACATTGAAATTTAATGTGTATAAATAAAAACTATTTTCATAGTAATATAGTATATTATTGTATAAATCTTGAAAATAAACAACTTGCATTAGTGAGTGTGTTTTATTTCCATATATTTGCAATAGTTAACATTTGCATATTTTTTCAGCCCAAAAAAAATATCAAATATCAGCCCACAACAAACTAAAATTCAGTACAACAATAATGATTATTATTTTTCTTTGATGTTATCCTATTTAATCAGTTTCATCAACAAAGTAGTATTTTCAAAAGTCATTGCCCAATGTTTGTGTTTTTAGTTATTTTTTAGATTATTTTTGTTCATTAATTACTAATGTGAATTGGAGACAGCACAAAAACATTCATATCTCAAGGCCACTGTTTGTGCAGAGTTCTCCTCTTTCCACTGCTAAACCAAAGATCAACAATCTCTTCTGGGTTAAAATAATCCAAACTGGGGCCTTCTGAAAACATTTTCATGAGGTGTTAAGTGAGTGACATAGAAAGATATGATCTGGGGTCATTCTTTATTTGGTTCTGGGTAGAAAATGCCCTATTACACTGCAGCAGAAATAGGAAGGACCTTGAGAAATCCTTAAATCTCACAGTATAAGGATGAATGGTTAACATGATCTCCCATACATTACTTGTAGGTCTTGTGTCAGAATTCATTGTAGACTAGTGTTTTGGCCCTCCTCCACTAAATCAGAATTTGACTGATGTTACATCCATTTTTCTTTCAGGATAGATTTGAACTAGTTAGTGATGAAAGCAATGCTGTCATCTCTGTAATGTACAATATCATCATAATCATTTGGCTTTGAATTATGTTTGAAAACTTTGAAGGACTTCAGTTTTTTTCTTCTGGTAACACTTCATCTGCACCTCCAATTAAATTTTCAAGACTTTCCAAAAGCTATTTCAATGTCAGATCTACTGTTTAATTTATGTGCTTTTCAGTGGCAGGCACAATGTTGATTGCAGTTGGTGTCAAGATTTTAGAGGATCCTGATAAGTTTAGAATTTGAAAAGTCATCTGATCTTTGTCTCCAGAAGAAACCTGAGAAGTACACAAGTCAGAAACTCCTGTAGACATCCATTTTTTAAGGGGTTTGTTTTCAGTCTTCTTATAGTAATCATGGCCTCTTTTTTACTGGTAAAACAGCTTCGGGAAGGATTAGGTCTTACCTCTGTAAAAACAAAAACAAATGTGGACTTTCCAAGTTTTTCTTGACTTGCTTTGAACAGCCTATGATGAATGCTTCCTTTCTTACTGTAGCCAAATGTTCCACATGAAAATAAACTGCAATGTATTGAGCAACTGAGTCTGTAGTATTGCCAGATTTGGATTTAATAATTACTAACAATGCCTTTCTCACATGAGAAAGCTAGCATGTTCTTTTAACTTGGGTAGATTTTCTGATTGAGACTTTTAAGTTCTTCTCATAATGCCTTCAACTCCATTGCAGACTTTGTACTGTTGTGATACATGTTTGCCAAATCAGGTTAAGTGTCACAGACCTTTTCTAAATATTCACATTTCTTCTGTACATTAAGCATAACAAGCTGTAGTTTGTGAGGGAGACAGTGAGTTGCTACCAATCAAGGAGATTGTTTTCAATATAGCATAGACCCTAGCTTGGTTGCCCATGTTAACACTTATTTCATAAGCCACAAATCTGACTGTTTTTTTATTCCACTGCTTAAGTTTCTCAAAGGAAGTTTCAGTTGCTGCTTTTACACACAAATTATAAATTATTATAATAAATCAAGCATTTTTTATTATTATTTTGTTTTTGTTACATGTATATTCAGTGGCAAACTTAAAAAAGGTTAAGAAAGGAATTTTAATTTAAATGATAATGACAGTAGTGTTCATAGTTGATAGTTAAAAAATGTTAAATAACCAAAACAAAACAATAATAACTACTTATTAAAAAGTGAGTTTGCATAGATCATCAAATACATTGTATCAAGATCATTAAAGAGTTTTAAGCATTATTAATAAAATTAACTTCTAATTATTTTTACTATACACTTAAACCCATCTATTTTGCTATTTATACACTGTTAAAACCATACAATGTATTAACTTAAAATAAAGTTGGGTTTGTACACTAACAAAAGTATGAATTTAGAATGTGACTGCATAATCTTTACTATTTGTTATGAACAATATCAGAATTCAGTCTTTTGGTAGATATACAGTAGCTAATATGAGGCTAAACAGAAAGGAGGGTACTTAGTATTTACTTTAAGTTTGCTGGCACTAGAGCTAGGCAATTTAATCCATCTTTCATTATCTCTTAGCATCAATTACATTGATTAGAGTCACATAAATTAATCAAAATTATGTCTAACTTTAATTGAAATTAGTGTTTCCAGTTATAACTGTGTTTGATTATTTCAAATATTGATTCATCAGATTCTGATTGTAACAGTTGTCACAACAATTTTCAACTAATCAAAATTAGGGTTTCAGATAATTACTATTTCTGATTATTCCAACTATTCAAGTAGTTGAAATATGGCTATTATGTTTGTTTGTTGCAAAGTTCAGAGCTACATAATTGGCTATTTGTGCTGTGCTTAATTTTAGCTTCCAATATCTACAACTGGCTTCTTTGCTTTTGGGATCTTATAGGGTGAGACACTGCTATTTGTTTCCCATCCACTGCTAATAGGGACTTACGGTCCATTTTTTGGAGCCACTCCTGTACATTTAGAATCATGTTTTAGTTGCTCTTTTGTTTCATTATGAGATATTATCATCTTTATTCATCTTACATGTTCAGCACCTTCCCGTCCTTTACCTGTCTTACCTGCGGGTTTTCTTCATTCATCTTGTATGCTCGATGCTGATTTGAGTTCTGGGTCAATTGGTCCCACCTCAATCAATTCTTGGGTCTTCCCCATTTTAATATGTAGTCTTTTATCACATTTGATAGGCTATTTCAGCATGACTGCGCATGTCCATGGTACACGTACTTACTTCCATTTTTTTTCACCACATGAGTTGGTACCAGTTTCATGCCTTGACCTCTGGACTTGTTTTGGTTCCATATGTCTTTTGTGGGGTGGTCTGCATTTTACCTGATATCTACATTCTGGGGGATTTTACCTAAACTATTAATTGGATATCTTGTTTTTAGTTAGTTCCCTCCAAACGGGAGTAGTCTTAACATACTCAACTACTCCTTTCACAGTCAGCTCAGGTAGTTGGATTTTCCAGTTGGATAAGTTTTTATTGTTACATACCTCACATTCTAGTCTCTTTGGGGTGTGTATTTTTAAGTATCCCCTACATCAGGACCATCAATTCTCTTCCTCAAATGCATTCGAAGGAGTTTTTGGGTTATTCAGGCCTTTACTTTAGGTTTTCCTCTTAATTTTCATTCTTCCCACTTCATCTATATCAATCAATTCAAAGATGGATGGGATCTTCAAGGCTTGTGGCACGTGAAAATTTTTTTGCAGCACTGAACGAGAATAGTTATTTATGTGAGAAGAGGTAAGTACCTATCAGAAATACATTTTCAGTATAGCAAACTTGTAACTTTATAACTTTGATTGTAACTTATGATTAGAGGGTCTTGGGTTTGATTCCCATTGCTACCAAACTTGCTTGCCCTGTCTTTGTTATGGCAAAGTTGCTAAGACTATCTTTCACTGTCTCTGATTTTCAACTGTTGATTACAGGGAAGACAACTGTTTGGCAGCACCTGCTGCCAACATTTTTGTTTATTCTTCCTTTTTGAACTGCTGAATAGAGGGAAAGACAACTTGTGGCATCCATGCCCCCCCCCCCCCTCTTGAAGTGTGGAGTAGTGAGAAACCAACTGGCTGGCAGCACCCAGTGCCAGTTTTTATTATATCTTTTCTATTTGAACTGCTGAGTAGAGGAAAAGTAATTGGCTGGTAGCTACGATGCCAACTTTTTTCTTTTGCTTGTATTATTCAATTAAGAAAATGTAATAATTAATTAATCACCCAGCTCTAGTTTGTACTATTAAATCCACCTGGGCCGAATATGATCAATGCTGCATGGTGGAGGTATGCACTCTACTGAGTGCCCCTCTAGTTATTAATTTAATTAGCTGGTGCATTTATCCAAGACAACCTACATATAATATTTACAGTACATGCAATGAATCAGTGTATATTTCATAGGTAATTGCTCTAAACACAATTAATTTAGTACTTTATAAATACAATTAAAACAAAATGAATTCATGAAACTCACAATTTGCATGTTCATATTGAACTGCTTTATTTTCAATGATTTGGCTTTTCAGTTCCCTTCTTAAGAAGTTGCACATACACTACTTTGTTGTCTGAACTAGACAAATCATTGGATCCATCCTGCTTAACAAAGAAAATAATTACTCCTCAAGAGTAGTGTTGAAGTATAATTTGGCATTTATCCAGAAGTCATACTGATAATTTCAGTATATTTAATGTCATTGGCATAGGTAGCACTTACATTGACTCCTTTTTTTTTTGTAACTCTGGCATTCAATGGTACTTTGTGAAAGGGAACTTTTCCTTTGTAGTAAAAGAAGTTGTGTGTTAATTTTTATGCACATGTCTCTGCTTTGTTAAGTTTTGTTTCAGTTTCATCAAAGCACATAAGAATTTTCCATACTTCAGGCTACATTTACTTTCCTAAAATATACTGCTGTGCCTTTGCATGCTTACTTTTGTTTGATTAGTGATTCTTTCTTAAAAGAGCTGCAAATTGTAATACAATCAGTCCTCCTGGCAACTTGCAAATCTGCTTAACTGCAGTATGTTACTCCTGTTTCATGAACTAACTAGTGGAACTTTTGGCACCATGATGGCCAAATCTACTGCCATGAATTTTTCATGTTGCATAATAAAAAACTCAGACTCCAAAGCCAAGGGTTCTTTTTGATCAGAACTTGTGTTCTTCTGTAATATCAGAGTCACTTGCTTGATTTTTATCTCCTGCTGGTTTGAGATTTTGGTGAAATTTTTTTTTTTTTTGGTTTTTGAATTAATAAGAAACAGTATTTTTCTTGTCTGTTTGATGCCATTTTTACGGTCTTGCAGTTTTCACTTTCATGAGCGAGTGCTGCACATATAATGATCTAAATTTCCCATAGCAATCAAATAATCTTTATGGACAGAGGTCCTAAAAAGTCATTTTATTTTAAACATGGGTTTAGGGGCATTTAAATAATATAAAAAAATACTAATAATAGTGTTGAAAATACTGGGAAAATATTATATTAATAAGATTTGCCCAACTGTGTTGTGTGAAAAATTGTAAGTTTAGTTGGATGATAAGAGGTTAAACTTCAAAATGCAGAAATGGAAATTATTATTCAGTGATGAGTTTCAAAAGCAGTTCCCTTTTCATGAAAAAATGAAGATTTCTGTGTGTTCCATTTTATAAAACTGACCTTTGGACATTACAGTTCTTTTAAAATATGAAAAAGATTGATGTGATTTGTTTATGAGTTTATTACAAAAGGTGAAGCCACAGATTGTTGCTTGCAGAAAAAGAGAGCAACAGTAGTGTATCACCCAGTGAAAGACAATCAGAGTTTCCTTTCTTTCTTTCTACTGGTTCTCTATATTAATTGGAAAGTTGAATAAAATAAAATTTATTTCAACAGAACAAACTGTGAGACATTCTTCAACAGCTTGTTGGTGCCACTTGCAGTGAAGAAACTGAATATGACAGTTCTACATTCATTTCAAATTCAGTGCATGTACAAATTAAAATCTTAGAAATTTTATCCATTAAGGATGAAACATATATTTTTGGCAAAATATGCAGAGAAATGTTGACAAGAAAAAATATTTCTGATAAAGTGGTAGGATTTGATGATGACAATACAAACTTTGGAGGTTCATGTCATGCGAGTGCTAAAAAAAAGGGTTTCAAAATCTCTCAACATACTTCAACAGGGATCTTTTAGAATCACATGTGCACTTTACCTTTTTATTAACTGTATTCCAGCTGCTGCCGCTGTGTGCCTGTAGTTGTTGAATTAATGGAAGTCGGGGGATATACAGGTACTTTTGTATTCAAACAATACATATAGCATAGTTTGTTACTGTTAAGATCTAGTACAACAGATTGCTTGGTTATTACAAGCAAGTTTGTTGGCTCTACTTCTAGATGTTGAATATATTCTAAAAATGTTTGGAGGCCTCTGTCAGTGTTTCTATCAAATGAAAGATGCCTACAATCCTGCACCAGTTTTTGAAGATTCTGTTTCCAAAGTGTAGCTTTGGCTTGTTCAAAACCATTCTTCTGTTTTCCAGTAGTCAGTCATTGAAAATGTATAATGAACTTGTTAGTGCAATAGAAACAGCTGTTAAGGTTTTTAAGTTTAATAGAAAAATTATGAAATGAAAGGAAGCTTTGTTTTGACTTTGGAAGTTTATGAGTTGTCTCAATTAGAAGATAAAGGTGCTGTGTTTTTGAAAGAGTTAAAAGAAGCTGCAGTCAGATTTCTCAGTGTTAACTGGATGTGTGAAAACAAATCTTAGAGAATTGAAACATCTGTTGTGGGTTTTGCTATAATAACATCCAAATTGAGAAGCTGTACAAGGTGCACGTGATGTATTCAAAGGTGTTTTCAAAAAGTCTGATATTGACATTTATTTGATGAGACTACTTTCTTGAAGAATCATGTCACCAATGACAAGATTATAATCTGAAAAAAATTATATTTTTTCAACAGTTAGTGATTGTCAGGTGGAGGTTATCAAATACTTCAGTATCTGCAGTGTATTATCCAAAAAAATTATGGCTTATGCATTATGTAGTTTGCCATTTGTTTTCCTGGCAAAAGTGTCCCAGTTTAGTATTTTTTCCATGGAGAACAATGTATGAACTTTGAAGTACAGAAGAAGCTATGAAGTCTCTGCTAATTTATTTGATAAACATTTGAAGAAAATTGTAAAAATGCATCAGGCACTTAACAAAAACAAAACACCAGTAAAAAAGTGTACAAATCTAAAACATGCACATGGTGCAAGTCTTAGAAATCCTTCAAGGTGAGGTAAGCAGTATTGTATCTCAAGTATAAATGTTTGATGGTAGTACATTTTACTATTTGTTTTTATTTTGTGCACCAAATTTGTTTTTAAAATATAGTAAATACATAACATATAGATGATGGATTTTTTTTAACACACATTAGCTGATGAAGATTTATGAATAAAAGAATTTTCAAAACACTAGCCATAATAGATGAGTGGTAAGGTCACATAAAGACATCATATAATGGTGAAAATTTCTGAAGAAATCTGCATTATAGATTTACGTAAAATTGGCATTTGAGGGGTCCAGATAAACAATTTCTAAATTTTTGGATGTTAATAAATGGTATTGCAAGATAAAAGAAACTCTCATTTACTTCTATAGGAAGAGATTTCATAAGCTCTTTGCCACCCACATGTGTTTTCACATTGTTAAATGCTCTGGCATTGTGTTTTTACCATAGTGGTTGTATATGAACAAAGGTAGGCAAATGCTTTTTATTCATGTTGAAAATGTTTAAACAGAAATCTTTTTGTGAATGATGATGGTGGAAACAACAAAAAACAAACAAGTAATATTAGAAGTTTTAATATGTCCAGCACGGATCAAGACTGTATGTGTGTGAAAGCTACAAATCCTGCCACAAATTGGAGGTTATAAATAGACCATTATAATTGTAACATATATTTCTCTCTCACATTATTAGATGGTGATGGAGATTAATTAAGGTCTTGTTTTACATTATAGTCTTCCAGAAGAGGTTATATGGGGTGGTGATCTGATAACACAGATGTAGTTAGGTTTTACTAAAAAAAATCAGATGCATGTATTAGCACTGCCAAACAAATAAATTTATCTCATTTAGCTGGTTGAAATTGAATAAAAAAATACATATTTTCATGTAATTATAGTTTTATGAAATGAGAAGTTAAGGTACACTATGGTACAGGTAAATGCCTAGAAGAAACTAAATCACAAGTTTACTTAAAATAGTAGACTATGTTGAAAACAATTTCAATGTGTATCAGATTCATATAGATATTCTGAAAACTCCATTTTAAAGAGAGGGTGCCAACTGGGTAGTCTGAATGCACTTAATGTGGTAAAGATACTAAGAACACAAGTTTATGGTAACATGGTGTTATCTGGCCACTCAGTGAAATGAATCAAAACCAAAGTGAATTACTGTATAATCCTCCACATTTATTTATTTATCTCACAAAAATCAAAAGAATTTAAGCAGCAAATGCCACATCATTGGGCAAAACCATTCCAGTAATTTTATAACTCTGAGACTCAAAGATAATTTTAACAAAGGACAAGTCTATGTGCAAACTTCCAGAGTTTTAAGTTTATTGTTCAATTTATTTCATATTCAAGTTCACATTTCCCAATATTTATTTTTACAAATGAAAAAGACCACACAAACAGGTAGATTTGTCTCTAGCTTAAATTTGTAAAGTAGACATCATTTTAGTAGCCTGTATCTGTACTCTTTCTGGCAAGTTAACATACTTTATCTTTCTTATTGTGAAGGGACCAAACATAAGGTGTCAGAAAATCATTTGGCACATCAGAGTGACCTTCACCCAACAGAGCATCAGAATTAAGTAAAATTTATGACAAGTTCATGTAAGTTTGGTGAACATTCTGTAGATATTGAAGGTGAATAACAAGTTCACATAAAGATAGATACTTTTATCAGTAGATGAGTAACAGTTTTATGTAGACAAATAGATAATCTGCTAGAGTGAGAGGATTACATAAATATGGGTGTTTGGTTTAATAACTGTTGAAGGTAGAGTGGGTTATCTGATAACAGTTGAGTGAAAATGTGATATTTAACTGATTTACATTTAGAAGAGCATGAAGACAATTAACAATATTGTGTAACTTTTGGTGAGTAGTGTGTAATCATAATGATATAGATATAAGTAAGCATTTTATAAATACTGCAGATAAATTACAGATCCTATAGCAATAGGTAGGTTTTCCATGTGGATATACTGTATTTAGTCATATATTTCCATAAGATCATGTACTAAATTGGATTTTGTGGAATAAGAAAATTGACTCTTATACGCAGATTATTAACTTCTGTGTGTAAGATCAGTTTTTACTAGTGTTTCATAAAATACTTCTTCCATTACTTGTGGAAGTTTGGATTGCTTCCATACTGACACACTAACGGTGTATGTTATTAAAAAGTGAAAATATTTTCATGGTAAAAAATAAAACTACAATTGTTTTGTTTAAATTGAATAACAGGATCTTTATTACTGCAAGTGAAAAGGCTGGAATTGCATTGGATTAAATTACCTTAATATGATGGACCTCATCTTGTTTATTTCTCTATATTTAGTATCAAAATTGTAACTACTAGGCAAGACACTAATGATGTGTGTAGAAATAATTACAGTATGACGGATCTATTAATAAAGTGTAAATTAATTATAGAAATTGACACGCACAAACCAGCTTTGTGTGACAGCAAGAAAGTATTTTATCATTGCTTGAGGCAGACTCTCATAACTGCATAAGTAGGTTAGCTTAGCACTTCAAACTGTTGAAGCAGGCAGAGGTTTTCACGTGCTCAAAAAGTTAAATATGCAAATTTATGGTTGACTGGCCTACTTCTTCCCAAGAAAGGACTGTAAGCAGGTCAAAGATTTTCAAGACTATCATGTGTGACTCCCCTCCCTTGGTTTGCTGACACCTGTTACATTACCTTTGTTTGCCTTGTTTTTTTATTGAAACATGTTGGCATAATTTTATATTATGACTATGAAAAATTGTAATAATGTTATAGTTACTTTCATTTTATTAAATATATATATCATTGCCCAAATAACTTCTTCCACATGCTTAGCAAATTTTTGAATCATTTTAAAGTAAATGGTTAAAAATTATAAATATGCTTATAAAAACATTAAAATATGCAAAAAAGATATCTCAAGCAGACCTCTTCATACTGCTTAGGCAACAGAGATATGATTTCAGAAGCATCTAGAACCTGACTTGCACATTCATATTCACAGTTCAGTATTTGTTATCTATAAACTTTGTTATATATTTGATTTGTTTGTTAATACAGCTTGCATATTTTATTATGTACTTTAGTTTCTTTGTATAAATTAGAGAATTTTAGTTGTCTACACAAATAGTTTAATTGGTAAAATGCTGCTGGTGTAAGTAGTCACAGCAGTTTCATTAGAAAGCAATAGCATTACAGAATGCAGAGGTAAAATTATTCAGGATAAAGATATAAAAAGTTTGATATTGTGTCATTATTGGCTAGAATGTATATCTAATTTTATTATTTTTAAATTTTGTTATTATCTTTCTTTGTTAGCTTAGTATACAAATTTGACTATCCTAAATCTCCAAGCTGCCAAACCTTGTGAAATATTAATATATTTGTTGTCTAAATGTTATTAACAATAAGGGTAACCAACTGATGAAACTGCATTCTGACCTTTATAAATAAGAACATTATATTTAATTAACTATACTCATTACAGGGTTGATTTTGATTTTTGTTTTTGAACTTTGATCTAAGTAGGTACCTTGCTCTGATCAGAAGTTAATATTAGTTGTTAAAAATATGGAATTACAGTTTTTCTTCAATAAACTTAAAAGTGAAAGAAAAGTGTAAAAAAAATAAAATCTACTGTCTCATTAAATGCTTTTAAAATATATATTACTTGTAAGAAAGATATAGAAAAAACACCTAAATAATGGCAAGATAAAAAGATTTAATTAGCTGAGGGAAACTCTGTATGTTGCAAAATCTGGTCTATTTCAACAGTGAAAACTGTAAATTAATAATTATTATAGAACTAGTGTATAGTCAGACAAAAATGATTGGGCAAGTACTATCACCCCACCTCATAGTACATGCTAACCTCACATTTCATAGCTAACTGAAATAAATACATTTTGCGAAATCAAGCTTGACCAACAAAGAAGCAGAAAAGTGCAGTCAAGGCAGTCAAATGATGATAAATTCATTTGTGATTCAATCAAAATTAAGATCATTCATGAAATGAATTTCTGATGTATTCATAGAATATTTATTGGTAAAAATCAGTTAGATTAAGAACTTCTAATATGCAATAAGAATGAAAGATGGAGAATAAAAGCTGCCATATTCTAACCTACATAAAAGCCAGTGTGTAAGAACACGCTTGATTTCTCAAAATAGAAGAAATCATAAAAGCCAAAATGCATTTATCCATATAGAATAGTTCGATTACTGTCTGCCCATTACGATTTTAGTGACGGGGGTGCAAGGAGGCTATGAAACCTTATAAGTGTAGTGAGTGTTGTTATAATGAGCTAAAGTAAAGATGTAGTGTAGGACCATGTAGCCTAGAGCCAGGTGCATAAAATTTATCCTGAAAATAAAATTATCGATTCAATTTTAAACTTAAATCATTTCTGAACTAAACTATTTTCTGTTATATCACTAATGTTTTTAATAAAAAAATCAAACCTCTTTAATCAATGGAGACTGTAATTTAAGAAATCAACAATTATTTTTCCAGTTTTGTTGTCAGTACATTTCATTTTATACTTTCAGTACATAGACTAACAACAATATTAGGTTATATTTTTTTTTTGCTAAGCAACATGACATAAAAGCCATTGTTGGAATTTAGTGTTACCAAAACGCATTGGCTTTTTTGTATATTAGAAGTTGTTAATCTAACTGATTTTTACCAATAATTATTATATGAATACGCCACGAATTCATTTCATGAATTATCTTTTCTGCCTCTTTATTGGTCAAGCTGGATTTCGAAAAAATGTAATTATTTTAGTTAGCTATGAAACGTGAAATTAGGGTATACTATGGTGTGGAGGTGCTAGTACTTGCCCCATCATTTTTGGCGGTCTATACGCTAATATTAAATAATTACTGGGCTTTCAAATAACTCACTATCTCTTCATAAAAACTCCTCAAAGTTTCAACATACGTCGATGATATTATATTTTTCATTTAATTTATAAAGCTTATAACGTATTAGAATTTCAAATAGCCTGAAATTGAGTTAATGTAAATTTAGCAGTTAAATTGTACTTTGGATTTAGTAGTTAAGTAAAAGCCGATATATAGTCAGTTTATGATATTTACCAACAAGATTGATACACATAGTTTTCTTTTGAAATACACACAACAATACAATTTACAATAACAGTTATTACAAAGAATGATTTATAAACAAAAGTTTCACAAACTTACAAGCAATATAAAGTCTTCTTTCTAGTCTGGAACTTCCTCGATATCTTATCGAGGGTTCATGATGAGCGAGTTGATTACGAGTTGTTGTAGGTATAATTCACTTCACAGGAAGCTAGCTAGTTTTGTCCTTCGTTATTTTCCAACAACACACGCCGAGTTTTCCACGATGAATTTATATAATGTTTTCGTAAAATTACTAATGTCTGATGAGAATCCACTGAAGTTAAACGATTTGTAATGTTCGAACTTTGTAATTGCTCCTGGTCAAATATATTAAGTTTTCCGTTTGATAAGCGTTACATCAATCACAGTTATAGCTTCCGAAGTTTATAGCACACTGACTATAGCGAAGTAATAATAAATACTATTTTTTCTCGCGGCTCGTTGGTTATATTTATAGGCGTGTGGAGGCTTTCTTGAAAATTCAGATTCACGTAACAATACTGAGCTACATTTAAGCGTTTACGTACATACATATATTGTTGATTCTTACTCTCGAGAATATTTTACAACTTTGGAGAATGGGCGGGAGTTTCGCAATACATATTTAACAACATAAGTCATGTATGTTTCTAAATATAAATTTAATCTAAACAAATGTTGATATTAAAATAAATATATAATAAATTCGCTATAAGCCACCTCTAGAGGCGCTATAAGAAAATTCTTAATTCGTTGAATCGACATTGCTAACTGTTGACTAATCGAGAGATTTCTCAAATGTTAATATAATTATGCCGTGTACTAAAGCCTTTTATTTTTAAATAAATAAAGAGAGGAAAAGAAATTTGCGACACAATATTAATTAATGAATCCAGGAGGCGTAGAGTCAAGGGGGTGACAATTCCCCCCAAATTCTGGCCCAAATAGTTTTTCGGGTAAAAATCACCCAGAATATTCGGGCAAAATCTCCGTACATATCTATAACTTTTATATTTGCAAACTGATTCTGTCTTTTTCAGAAAATATATTATCCACACGTGACATTTTCACTTGCACCCTTTTTAACCCTTTAGCGCCGTATGGTTCCACGTGGAAGTCACTGGAATCATTTTTTCAAGCGACTTTAAACCTTATAATACATGATTTTAAGGTCGATTTTATATTTTCGGGCCAAACTTGCTGACCCTCCCGGTCAAAATCAAGCCCCTACGCCTATGCTCTAGGACGACACAAAAATATTAGCGATAGATAAAGTTTACCAAGTACAACTTAGTTCTTTACTCCGCCAGTAATCCTCTTAAACAGTGATGTTTTAAATTGAATAGCAAATCTATATGACAGTTTGCTATCTGAATTGCTTTAGCCAATTTACAATAAATTTGTATTTATATTATCATCATTGGACGTGAACAAAAATCTACTATTTGCGTGCCATTTTTACACC